TGAGAATACATTTGTTAAAAACCGTAATGAGGACGAAATCTGGAGGAAGGGATAATGAATAGCAAACATAATAAAAATATTCAAATTGAATGAAAGTGAAACGAGGGCATAAATTAAAATTACAAAGAAAGAGGTCAATCAAATTATGCAGATTTACTTTTTTTTTTTTTTTTTTGTTTCAGGAGAGGAATCCACTTATCCATTCATTACCAAAGAATAGTAGCTATGTAGGCCAACCGACCACGTGAACAATTGGATTTTTAACTGTATATTGTTAAAAAATTAATCTATGGAGAAATTAAAATAACAAATACTATCATTAATATAATAAAAATATAATACATGAAGGTGAGGGGAGGATGAAAAACATTTTTTATGTAAATTGAAATTTGAAAGTCATTGAAAATTCAACTAAATTCGTTATCATTTGATTTACGACATTATTTATTTCCTTTTCGCTTTCCTAACACGGCATCGCGTTAAGATACAATTTTGAATTATAGCTTATTACAGAAAGGATGAAATGGTGTACAATTCCTTCGCATACGGTGTTCAGGCCCGATTTTTAGTTTCTGAGATGTCTTAAGCCATATGTAAAAATATTTCAGTCAGTCGATTATAGCCGACTTTACCCGAGCGTTAAAATCTGACGGATCTATCAAATTCAATCTTCACAAAGAAGTGCAAAACGCACCCAAATAAGTATTCACTTCAAAAAGAAGGCATTTAAATAAGTGAATAGCCTCTGTGAATTATCGTTTGTTTTGATGAAGTTATTTTACCATAATAATGTAAATATCATCTTCACGATATTTAGATATTATATAGATTATTGAAAATAAATGAACACAAGGTACATACAATCTATCATGTGATACATCACAATACAATGTATCATGTGATATTATAATAAATTTTATAGTTATAATAAGAAAATTTACAAACAAAATTGCTTCTATACTCCCAATACCTTGATCAAATTCTTAACAACCACATATCAGAATCTATAATTTAACTGATGACTGCCTTCATTTCCCTTAACCTATAATTTTCTCTTTAGCTCACTCAGAGCACCTTTACTTACTGAAACGTAACCAAAGTCTACAAACAATATTCACATTACTTTCTCGAGGTTTTAATACATAATAATTCGGAGTTTATCGGACATTTTTTTTTTTTTTTTTTGTAAAATAAAATTTTGTTCAGAAAACATAATATAAGAAATAAGTTACACAACAGTTTAGAAATATTCTCAAATGATTTAAAAATCATTTCTTAAAATGATCGATAAATGCAAATCAACCCCGTTTTTGTAATGTAACAACTGACCGAGAGATCGCACTTGTAAAAATTCCCAGATATATCGTTCGCAGCCACTATAAATAAAGCGTAGGGACAAACTTTTAGGCATACAGGAATCGATTTAAAAAATATATATATATATTTTCGAAGAGACAAATATCATGTTGTTTTATCTATACTGGGTGTTTTAGGGTAAGTGGCCAGAGTTAAAATATGAATTAAGGACTTCAAAACATCTAATCCATCTCCTAAACAAAGCTTTTGCTGACATACCTACACTTTGAACAACATTTAATATGAATGTTAATGTTTAAATTTAATTCATAAAGTAGTTAGAACAAATAAATAGATTTTATTTATTTCATACAAACTGATGTACCCGTCGTTGACCGGTATAGTTAAAATTTGAAAACCTTTTTTAGAGATGGATTTTGTATTTTGGGGAGGGGAAATCCAAATTTAATTACATAAAATTGGGTGGGAGGGTGTTGTTTTGAAAAATTTTATGGTGGGGGTAATGGAAGTCAAGGTTTCACAATAGTCATAATAAAAACATTGTTATTCCACTATTTATTTAAGTACCACACAACTAAACCGACCACCGCCGATCCATTAAAATTTTTTAAAGTGTTTAATTTTCATTAATAATGGAGCGAGGAGCTTGTGGAGTCGATTGAAATAATCAAAAAGAGTTGTAGCATCTCCACTTCTTTGAACTCTGCTGAGTTTATCGCTCGCAAAATAACATATGACATTGAGTCACCTACATCCGTGTAAAATTAGAACTTGATCTGAATATTGTGGCGGGCGGGGTTTTTCCAAATTTTTGAGAGCTTTTTTCCCCGATTTCCGGCTAATCCGTTTGGTTAATCCTAAAAATGTATACAACATATTTTAGGTTCGGGAAGTTGATCGAATGACACCTTGAACGGAAAGATCGGACAAAGTTGAAAAAACAAAGCGTTTGCGGATATATACCTTCCTTGAAAATTTTGTTCGTGTTTTGAAGTCCTTAATTCATTTTTACAGTTTGGTCACTTAAACCTGAAACACCCTATATACTTAAAACTCGAATTGTACGAATTACGAATATCTTTTAGGCCTGAGCATTGTAAATTTTCTTATTAAATAGCATAAGACATATCCTGTTCGTAAAAAAAAAAAAAAAAAAAACATTGTCAGTACCAAGACAACAAACAGAGGACGTTTTCTGTTAAATTATTTCACGTTCTTTCAGTTATTGCTTCTTTTTTTTTTCCTAAATATATTTCGGATGTTAGTCAGTGTATCAGATACATTTGATCATTTATTCATTATTTATATGAAACGAGCAAGTATATTTCAAATTCAGGGCGGTTAAAACCATGGAGTACACTTTTTACAGTATGATTATATTTTAGTTAATGTTGGATATTAACTAAATATATTAAAATATTACTATGTTAAAAGATGATAAAGTCGTGGAAGGATGGATGTTTGAACGTCTATGACATACATATCTTCTTTATATTGTGTATAAAAGAAAGAAAATATCTTTATCATTATACTCATATTATTTAATTTTTTTATGATCATGAAGTTTTGAGTTAATATTTCTAACAAATTAAATAAGATGTGTAAAATAAAAGAAGGTGATACAGAAATAGATATATTAACATGAATGAAATTTATAAAGTTGAATGTTAAAATAAAAACATAAAATACATAACACAGAATAGATGCAATAAATTTTAAAACAGATCAAGAGAAGCCAGATTAAAAATATTTTAGATCCATAAAGTCCACCCACTAATCGCCATTCCATTCAAAAGAAAGGAAAAAGGTTCTACGGTAGGTTTTTCAATTTAACTTTATAAAAGATGGAAAAGACAACTATATAACTGCCATTAGACCTCAGTTTTAGATTTAATCTAAATGTGATAAATCCATCAATTAAGACTAAGAGAAACGTATATAGTATAAAGAGAAAAGTATATAACATAAATATAGTACTACAGCTTGAGAAATGAATAAATAAATTCATTATTTAATATTTACTCATGTTACAATCTTCATGTTTTTCTAAGCATTTATGGCAATGAAGTATGATCTTTAAGAAAGGAGTGGAACAAACATTGATAATGATTTTTATTTTAAGCAAAAACATTTAAAATAAATATACTACAAGAATAGAATAATAAAATAAACTGTTTAATCAATTTTGACTATGACCGAAAAATGTGAAAACATCTTTAAAATCACAGAAGTAGATAACTTTAATCTCAACCTGGAGGCCTTCAGCAATGCGGAAAAAGTAATTTTTTTTTTTCATTTGAAAAATAAATAGAAATATTAATAAATTAAATTCTTGATAAAAACTTTTTCATAAATGGTAATTTAAAAATTTACCAGTATTCCATAAGGATGGTCCAAAATGAGTTCGACCAAGACAAAATCATTTATACTGATTCATTCATGCAACAACAGTCAAATAAGATATCAATGTACAACTATTAAAATGTATAATATAAAAAACAGAACATTTTTCTATTTTGTAATATTGAGGCGAAATGACAGAATATTTAAAACTAATTTTAAAAAGGTTTTCATATTAATATCCCCTCGTTAGATAATTTTTACTTCTACAATCTGTAAGAGTTGATCTTGAAAATTCTTACTTTTTTTTTAATTTTATTTTTTTATTCAGCTCCCTGCATACACATAAACTTGTATAAAAACAGTTATCGTGTTGAAGCTATAAATAAATCCTTGAAAATAAAGGAACAACAAAGCCATAATAAAATTTTATAATTCAATAATCGATTTATATTTTTTGCGGAACTTTGAAGGTCGATATATAGGTCGAACTTACAAAATTTAAAAAAATATAGGATAGGATACTTCCCAAAACAGTAATTATTGTATGAAGCTTTAAATGATTAAAGCTTACGCAGATTTCCAAAATTTATAAATTAATATAAATCTTTGTGGTTTTGAAAATGAAAGCATTTTTTTATTTGATTTAATCTGCAGTTTAATTAAAAATAATTACGTAACATGTCAATAATTATTAAAGTATTAGATCGTGAAATACTTGACACCAAAAATCTCCAGTATTGCAAACCATAAAATAATTTGAGTTAATAATAAAGGGGGTGGAAATCTCTTCATCAAATAAAAATATGAAATTTATTAGATAAATTTTACTGGAATTACGATTGCCACATAATTTTATTTTTCAAAAATTAGTCAAAACATTGTACCTTTATTTTTCATATTAAAAGGAAAAACAATTCCAATATCTCAAAACTATAGATCACGATTTGGAACTAATTCAAATTCCATACCTCTATAGGATATATTAGAGTTAAATAAACGCAATACTGTTGAATGGTTATCTTTATACCACAAAAAGTAGGATCCAACAAAACCAAAAATGCCATAATTTTGGAGAAAAAAAAGTTGTTTTTCAAAATATGAGAAACAGTTAAAAATATGTAAATAGAACATCACTTGCGCTAAAAGGAATTAGATAAGAAAAATTCTGTAAAAAATAAATAAATCACTTGGTTGTATACCCGGATGAACCATAAATTATGATTATAGATTAATATATATCATCCATTAAAAAAAAAACCTATGCCGGTATTAACAAACTATGTTATCGATGGTGGGTGATAAGAGCTAAACACACTGAATGAGACACAGTTTAATATTGGCATTGATCTAAGTTACATACATATTGTTACATGGAAAGTGCATATAGTTTTATAGATTGGAATCATCTGAAAACATATTTCACATTTAATGCAATTTCTAATGACGTTTCACAGTATTGTCGAATTAATCATTCACTAAACGCGAATACTAAAATAGAAGAAAAAGCTGTAAACTGTTTTTAATATTTTTCTGCATTGATAAAAAATATTTGGAGCAAACAGACAACACCCATGAAAAGTAAGTATGATATAAATAATTGATTAGAATATCCAAGGTATATTTGTTCTAAGTTATCTTCAGTAATGACTGAAGATCATGTACATTAGGATTTGCGTTATCTTTTTTAAATAATGAAGAATTTGTTGATGATTATTGTGTATCCAGAACCCAAAAAGGACCGGAAATTAGCTAAATATCACGGAGATATTTCGTAAGAACTATTGCCTAAAGCTACAAATATACATTAATGGACTTTACCTTATAGCTCAGAAGACATGACTCTCGCGAAACTGACAACGACAATGAGCAAAAACAACGACTATCTTGAACGATCCTGCCGGTACGGCGTCGGCCGCAACACTGGCTCTCGCTTGGAGGGGAGCTCCAGCTGATCGGACCACGTGGATTTTGCCGCCGCGGGAAAGATTTACCGCGGATCCTGTCACGTTTTGCCAAAGTCATGTGACACCCGAAGATCAATCCACCACAACCGAAAGAGAAGATCTGACTTCCGGCAGAAAACGTGACAGGCAGCATTCGACTGATGGAGGCTCATTCGTCAGTCCGTTTTGAGTATATGAAATTATTGAATAAAAATCCCTAAGAACACCATCTTCAATGATTCACCAATTCTGCGTGCCCAGCCAGTTAAATACACCCGATAATAAACTCCTATTCAATCAGAATATTAATTCAAAATTGGAAAATTCTCAAACAATAATGTATAAAACTTCTCTTTATATCAATGAAACATCAAAGCTATCACCCAAAATATATCAATTCTGCATAAATCAGTAATAAGACCAAATTCGACCCAAGATTCTCTACCATATAGAGCATCACTAATTCAACCAATATGAAAAAACTACCATTATTTCAAAACAAATGCCTAAGAATCGTCAACAATTACCCCAATCGTACCAAAATAACTAAGGTTTCAGAATTAAATATTTCCTACATGCAGTAAAACATAACAAAAGAAGACATTTTACTAAATATCCGAGAATAAAATTTACTTTTATTCTTTGAAAATACAAGATAAGCTGAACAAAATGCTTCTTTGGGCTATTCAGAATAAATTAAAAACAGTCAAATAAAATACTATTGTATTTGGTTTTAAATATTTTATTTGAATAGTGTTTCTAATAAAGTATTTTAAAACCTACATCTTTTCAGATACATTAGATAGATAGATACATTCAAATACATCAGTGTCAATCTAGCATCAATTCTTATTGAATATAGATTAATTCCTAACTTTTTCGTCCTTATTGCTCAATTAAACTAGTCTTTTCCATCCTTAAGTAATCTTTATTTTTCTATTCTTGGTTTCGTTATGGAGTTATTATAGTTCAAGGTAATTTTCAGATTAGATAGTTAGTATGCAAAAGAAGGGTTATCTTGTTGAAAAGTTGTTTTCTTTTGATTAAGTAATATTGTCAATCAATCGGTTGAGTGCAAAGCTATGAGCCTCTTGATGCATCAATAACTTGTTAATTCAACAAAACGTTGGAATGATTTCAAGTTCCTCATACGCTTTAGCAACCAATTTATCGAAAGAAATCAATCAATAAAGCCAGTTATGAGATCGATTGCCTGGCTATTGTTGTTATAAATCATTAACAAGCCTCACGACATGAAAATATGCCAATGAAAATTATATAAAATATAACTAAAATAAAATGGGACACTAAAAAGAAAGTTAGATTCAAATGCCTTAAGGAATGGATGGAGAAATGCATATACATGTGTGTGAAAATTGATGAGGACTTCTTATTCACCTGCTTATTTGCAAATAGTCATGTGAACATTGCATCAGACGAATATGACTAGTAGTACATGTTGATAAAACTATTGGAGGAGTACTCTTAATAGAATCTGGTAATAACAGAAAAACGGAAAGTAAATAGTATATATGTATGACATTCTATATAATAAAATTTACAAAAATTAATCTCACTAAACAATTATTATAATGAAATAAAATTAATCACCACAAATTAAGTGACTAAAGGTCAAATTATTGTGAACTTACGGAATATTACATTCTGGATCAGGGGCAAAATGTAACATGATACAGATGCGATATTCCAGTTAATAATGGAATGAAAAATTAAAAAGTCACAATTGATACAAGAGAACCCACCACACTGTCCTACGAATCTCTGCTTACTACACTATAAATAACATTTTGTAGACGATAATGAGCCAGGTGTACAAGAATAAAACTGACTTTGTGCCATTCAGCTTTGCAACCAATGCAAATGAATATTAATTTATAACTATAGTACAACAGAAAAAAAAATTTTAACTTTAAATTTCGACAATAATATTGAGAAAGACAGCTTAGTGGATTTTAATTCAAGTATGGTCAGCGTATAAAGTTTATTTATTCTGTTATATCAGAAGTGATTCGATTTGGTATCAAGACATCCTGTCGGAACATACTAACCATCTATAATCTAAGTTATCTTTATCAGGATAAACCTGGAGGTTGAACATGATGGTAGGCAAATCAACTCCTGCCATAAACTTTGGCCAATAACACAATATTGCACCTAGGTTAGTAAAGAAATTTCATGGATAATAATGATACAGGTTTAATATTTAATTGCTTGGGAATTAAGTTATTAATTTATTAAGGCAAAAAATCATTGTTGCACAATATATGTATACGAAACACCTTGATCATAATATATGATGAACAATACGATGTAAATAAGAAAGGAATACGGCTCACCATTGAAACAAATTAAAATTTGTGTTGTTTTTCTAATGGTCATGATAAACAGAAAATAAAATTATGGCAGCTTTCTGTGTCTAACTAAAGCAAACGCCCCTCACTCATTCCCTCACATTACGGCAGTTGAGTGCATGCCCATAGGTTGCGTTCAGTGGTTCGCTCTGCTAAGCCGCAGACACAGAGAAGATTCACCCCAACGCAAAATATTTTTAACAGAAAGCGTTATTATGCATGCGACTATACCCTGTGTCCTGGAATACTATCGCCTACCCCTAATAACTAAGTTTATAATAATCTTCACTTCTACATAAACAGTAAACTACATCCGCATGATCGCCACATTATTCAGTGCCATTAATACTTGCTATAATAATCATTTGAGATTCAATTATAATTCTCAGTTCTTGTGTGCTTTTATATCACCATCAAGACCTAGATCGGAATTCAATTAGTTCCGAATCAAACAAAATTTTTATGGAGATGACAAATGAAATGATACACAAACCTAAAAACCCACCAGAATACCCATCCTATCCCTCTTTTACCCGTCATTGGCTAAATTCTAACCACATAATCGCAGATCACCAATTTGGATTCCGCATATCCCACTCCACTATTCAGCTATGAGCAATGTCGTGTGGTAGACGTGTGGTAGACGTAGTCCCCTCTGCCTTGGAGCGCGGAATGTTCTGCACGGGAGGCTTTCTCGACGATGAACAGAAGTATAATAGAGTCTGGCACCCGGGATTGTATGTACAAACTCCGTAAATTCGTACCACTTACATATTTCCTCGTTACCCGTCCCTTCGTTACTAACTGATAGTTTAAAGTAAATAAAAAAATTCTTATTCATCCCTTTTTTCCAGTCTGCTGGTGTTCCTTAAGGTAGCTTTACAAGGTAGTGTATTCCTGAGCCCTATCCTTTATACAGTTTATACAGCTGGCATCAAAAACCATCCTGACACTGTCATCACCACATATGCTTATGACACATGTGTCCTATATATTAATAATGATCCATCAACTGCATCCCAAACTCTCCAATCACATATCACAAACCTTGAAGAATGGTGTAAAAACTGAATAATTAAAATAAATCCCATCAAATTACCTTTACCCTGCATCGCAAACATATGACTCCCTGTCCTACAGTATCCTTTAACAATTTCCCATTTATCCCAGTTGAATAAATCCGTTACTTAGAACTCCACCTGGACAATCGACTCACATAGAATCCTCACACAACACTGAAACGACAAGAAATCGCTCGACGTTTCCAACTCCTATTCCAGCAATTACTAGATAAACGTTCTGAGCTTTCAATCAATTACAAAAGCCTCATATATATATATGACAATAGTAAGACCTATTTGGACTTACAGAATCGAGTTTTGGGGCTCCACTAAACCATCGAATTCCTCTCGTATCCAATCCTTCCAATCCAAAATCCTCAACGCTCCTTACTTTGTCACAAATAAAATCATCCATAACGACCTTGATGTTCCACGAGTTTCCAATGTGGCCCAATCCCCTGATACGTATCCTTCCATGACAAACTTCAGAACAAGCCGAACCCACTCGTTTCAAACCTTGCTTCTTCCTCGATCCCTGATAGCCCTCTAAGGCGTCTGATAAGAAGGAGGCCTCGTGATCTTCTGGTGTAAATTTATTATTTTAGTGCTACCAGAGGGTATTTTTTCAACAAGCATTTTCATGTTTTTTTTTTTTGTTTTTTTTTATTTCTTTATGACATTTACAACTGTATTACATAAATACATCAAGTAAATTTGGACATAATTGATATAATGACATGAGTACACTTGCTGAGTAACTACCCAATGGTAGCACTCTAATGATATGACTACATTAGGAGATCACGGGGCCATCTTCTTTTCAGACGCCTCGGAGGGTTATCAGGAATTGAAGAGGAAGCAAGGTTAGAAACGAGAGGGTTGGGATGATTCTGAAGTTTATTATGGAAGGATAGGTATCTGGATTGGGCCAGATCTGAAACATAAGGAACATGGCACCCTTTATCCCATTATCTTTATGGATAATTTTATTAGTGACAAAGTAAGGAGCATTGAGGATTTTACGAAGGATTTTGGATTGTAAGGATTGGATGCGAGAGGAATTCGATGGTTTAGTGGAGCCCCATAGCTCAACTCCGTAAGTCCAAATAGGTCTTATTATAGTCAAGTATATGAGCCTTTTGTAATTAATGGGAAGTTTAGAGCGTTTGTCTAGTAAGTGCTGAAGTAATCGGAAACGTCGA